CCTGGCCACATACATGTACATTTGTACATTGACTAGCGCTGGCATAACAACTGTGTTCAGTGTTTTTATTCCTCCATGGTTTAACTTATGAGGCAGAATCTTCCTCCATGGTCCTACCCTAACACTTTTGGTCAGTTAAAATTTAATACCCAGTAACCCCACAATAAAAATACCTAAATAAAATAAAGTTATTTAGAAAATTGATTCAGCCAGCCAGAAAGGGGAAATAAAGCAGCTTGAATCTGATTGTAAATTTTAGACACTGGCATGAAGTCAAATTGGATTGTGATGCCTTGCAGTGATGTCCAGATAACTCTCTGAGAATCTGAGGTTTATTAGTCTGCTCTCATTAATTTTTCTATCATTTTCAATATTTAACATGCATAAGCTTTCTATTGGAATTAGCACTAATTTTCGAAATTTCTGTTTTTCTTTTCACACTTTCATTCTAACTGAAATAAAATTAAATCTGTTGAAATGGTAATTAATAATAATATCATGCGGGGTTCTTCTCTTGAAAAAAACTATAAACTTAAAATTTTCTCGGGGTGAAGATACGAACTTGCAAAGGGACTAAAGTGCTGCGCAGAAACAAACAGGGTTTGGGCAGAAGAACAAGGAGAAGAAGAAGAAACGAGAGGTTTTATGTCTGTTTGCAACAGAACATACCATATCTACCTACATGTACCTACCAATTTCGTTGACAATTGGACCTTCCTTTTTGAGTGTTTAAAAAAAACCTTTTTTATGACGTCGTCATGATGTCACACTTTTTCCAAATTTTGTACATTTATGTATTGCTCAACGAACCTAATACAAAAAAAATTAATTTATCGTATTGTGTTAGTGAGATATTGCAAAAGTTTGAAAATATATTAAAAGTTTAAATTTATGTATAAAATCGCAAGATGATGTCGCGATGACGTCATCTCAAATTTAATCTAGACCACATCCTGGTCTAATAACATACCAAGTTTCAACCCACTCGGACATGTATACCATTCTGTACATATACCGGTAGGGCTCTGAAATAATGGACTTTGTGATGACGTCATGTGACCCACGATGACGTCATCGTGATGTTATTCTTTGGCATACATCTATGCAATAATGCCTGTGCCAACTTTGAATGCTGTGCGACAAAGATGACGTCATGTGACCCACGATGACGTCATCGTGATGTTATTCTTTGGCATACATCTATGCAATAATGCCTGTGCCAACTTTGAATGCTGTGCGACAAAGATTAATTGCAAAAAGTGCTGTACAGAAAAACGTGCAAAGTTTGTGGCATTTGGCCAAAAAAAGAAAAACCCCCAAAACAATCCCGACGAACAGAAAGGCTAAAATTGCGAAAAAGCAAAAAAAATTCTGAAGAAAAACGAAAAGCTCTTTCAGGTAACTTGCCGAAACAGTTAAAGACAGGAGCTGTATTGCAATTGGTCATGATGTCACACAGCTGACAGTTATTGAGAATAGATGCTGCTGATTTTCTGTAGTGTCGATAGGGCAAAATGCTCATGACTGTCACCATTTTAATGAGGATATAAGGTGAATAAATCTCCCTATCAGACACCTAACTTCACTAAGAAGGCATGAACCAGTATGAAATTTTGTTGCACAAATAGCTTTAATGGCGAAGTAAGTTGGCACAATCAAAACAACCTCAATGTGTTAATGGAAGTTTATACATCACTCTCTGTAAGATTTGTCTGTAAACCTCATAGTTCTTGAAGTACATGCACAAACTATGGATAACACTATCACTTAATAGGCCTACCTTTTTTATTAGGGACCAAAATGGGCTACTGCGCAGGCATTGTGCGCATGGATCATTTTTTTGCAAAAAACATAGTTACCTGGCTCTCTTTAGACGTGATGCAGTAAAATTGATTTCAAGCCCCAGGGAGCACATTTTTATCGATTTTGGATAGGGTTTGAGTTGCCAGAATTCCTCATTGAAAGTTCCATGAAAAAATGTGAAGTTTTCTGGGAGTTTGGTCTGCTAAAAACAAACATGATTTCAAGTGGCATTTGAGGGGCTACATCTACCAAAAGCTACTATTTTTGAAAAATGTGGGTCAGAAACACCTTAGAAAGATTGAGGTTTAGATTGTGAATGTGAGCGCATTTGATCGCTGAGCAATAAAGTGCACTGTGATTTTCTGAATGGCCACCGCCCGGGTGTGAGTGCGCGGCGGCAGTTCAACATGGCTGTTCATCACAATCATCATTCCCACAATGTAATCCTCCTTTTTGTTCCTCATTCATCAAAATTTGTTACTGTTTCACTTAATGAAAATTACATCTCTGCAATATTGTGTATTTACATATTAATAAAAACTACACATATGAAAAAATTAAGCACTTCAGAGAAAGATTGTTGATAACCGTTATTCCCATTACAAGCTCCCTGCATACTTATGGAGCTGGCAGTGGTGATCGAGGTCATTCATATAAAATTTTAAAAAAAGGTTGTTTTGCATTTTTTATGAACCCAAATGTAAAGCTTAACAAAATATACACATATGTATACCGGTACATCTTTAGTTGGTACATGTACCAATAGCGTGTTACCAGTCAACTCAACAAAAATGAAACTGGATTTTTGACATTGGTGGGGGTTAGCCATTCTCTGTGTTACTGTTCTTCATTAGAATTTGCACACGCTTAGTGCATGCATGCAGCTTTGATTCTTGTACATGCAGTTCACAGTTTGAGAACAGATGAAATACGTCTCCAACCGCAAAAATCTGTAATGTTGTCTCAGAGTGTATTTTCCTCGATTTTGCAGTACATGGTTCTTTCTGGAACTCCTTAACCCCCAGCTGGGTAGATATGGTAAGAAAGTTAAGAACAGGTAAACGTGAATTAGTTTCTTCAACATAGCAAACCAAGAAGAAATTATTCCAGATTATTGGTCATGTTTTACAAAAGTCTTGGAACCTGGACATCAGTCATTATGTAATGAAGACTGGCCGTCTACATGTACCCGGGATAATGCTAGTCAGTAGTCCAATGCTGACTGACATAATCACCCATCAGACCATGTACCGGTACACGTATGTGCAGGTTACTACTGAAGAACCTAGCCAGGTACACATTCCCACTTGTTCTGTGTATGTGCTGCACAAACGAACAGTTGCCTGGTTTCCAGTATAGTCAGCTATATCTAGTCTTTGTGGTTTTGTTGTGGTTGGCTAAAGACAGGACCACCATGACCACACAAATGAAAAATAAACTCAAAAGCATTTTTAAATTTTTCAGGTTTTGGGGTTCTTACCTGGTACAGTAAGCTGCGGCTTGGATTTGTGCATTCAAAAATACCTTGTACATGTACATGTATGTTGCACTTCAGATTTCTCCTAAAATTCCTATCATATTTCTTCATTTACAATGTATATGCATTAGACATGGGTTGCACATGGGACAATCCTGCATCCCGCAATGCACTAATGCTAACAATACATGTACAGTGATTTTTTCATCCCTTTCAATTCATGAAACTGTAAAAGCAGCATAGTGTTGCCTACATCTGGGAGTATCTATTTTAGTGGTTACACACTACCGGTATGCTACTTCTGCTAGTCGGCAAAATATTCATTGTGATTCTAAAATCCCCAGTCTGTGATTTCTGATGAGGTACAGTAGACATGATTTGAGATAAATTTATATTTACACCTTGATCGTGATGAAATATCATATAGTGGCACTTACTATTCAGTGCTATATTATCTTTGATAACGATCAAAGTTACAAGTTTTAATGTTACTAAGTCAAGCTGGACAACTGCATCTTATTTCTCTGCTGTGACGACATGATACAGGATTACTCATAATGAGATTAAATACATGTGTACAACAATATGGTAGTTTTCTTTTTTTTGAAAGGGTTCAGCATCATTCTGAAAACAGTAGCAAGAATACTGCAGTATTGAAATTCCATACTGAGTTTGCCGATATTTTGTTATTTATGGATCATCAGTCAGTATGCTTCGATATTGAAAATACAAGTACATGCACCTGTACATGCACATGTAATTACCACTCTCGGTAGTGCTGGAATACTTTCCAAGCCTAGCCACGGGGTGTTGGGATTGAGTCATGCACCTGTGCAGCAATGATTTCACTCCTTATCCCAAGTAGCATACATAACGTGATTTGCTTAACGTTCTTCAAAGTCACCATGCTCTTGTTCCTCGTCCAAAAGAGCCTGACTGTATTTGTTGGATAATCAGTGATTTAGAATGAGTGGTAGCTTTGGTGAATGTGCTCGCTGTGTACATACATGTATACATGTACGTGCATGGATGCATAGAGCCTTGGTAAAGTACATGTATGTTATGAATTATGTCCCTGGCATAGTTTTGTATTGGTTCTAGTTGCATGTGTAAATTAGTCTGTTGAAATTTTTACACCACATCAAAACTTCATTAGTAGTCAAGGACTTCAATCAATCCAACACATTTTTTCTTTATTTTCAATTTCACATTTTCTGAGGTTCCCTCCCCCCTCTCAAAAAAAGTCAGGATTGCACTGTCAAAATAGTACAGGGTCAGTCAGGAAGCCTGGAGCAGAACCAGATTTTGGAGGGTATAGGTTAGCTTTATTTCCAGACGTGAACTTTTGCCAACTTGTTAAAGATATGCAGCTTGGAAACAACATTTGTTCATGGAATTCCACAAGCATGTTTTTGTAAGGAACCATTCTTAATCATGAAACTAGTGGCTCACTCTTTGAATTTTCAAGGGGCATCGTGCCACATGCAAAGAAGAAGTGGCTCTACTTTGCCTTCCATGGAAGATTTGGAAGGATCATTTTGGACTAAGAATAATGAGCCATGTACTGGTGTCGTGAAGGGCAGGAATGGCCTGTGGTGAAAATTAGGAAAAGGTAATCCACACTGGGGATTGTTTTGATCCAGGTTTGTAGCGTTTTGTTTTCAGTGGAAACCAGTGGAAAGCACAAGGTAAAAGATGTCTCTGTTTACTTTGATGACAGGAGAAACCTCACGATTGTAAAACAACAAAATCCGAAGGTGAGAACGAAACTCCAACTCAGAGCAAGGAAGTTGTTGGTCCACAGGAAGTCATCAAACATCCCTTGCAGAACAAGTGGGCCCTCTGGTTCTTCAAAAACGACAAGTCCAAATCCTGGGCAGATAACTTAAGAATCATAACCTCGTTTGACACAGTGGAAGACTTCTGGGCGTAAGTCAATATGTCACCTTTCCAAATGTTTATTTTACTGGTAGGGTTACATGTATGTTATGTGTGAATCATGTCCTCTGGTCATGAAAGTATTGTCTCCATACTGCCAAAGTCCAACACTAGGTTGCACTACTGTTACTCTAACTTTTAAAAATCCTGTACTTGGCAGAAAACAATGGTTCATTGTTTTATTTTGAAGAGGCATTGAGCCCTGCGTAAGGTGGTCTTGGCTAAATTCTTCTTTTCTTCAATCCTGCAGAATCGTTCAAAATGTCACAGATTCTGAATCAAACTGAAAGGGTTATGGTTTTAGATTTTGGAAATGTAAGACACAACTACATGTATAAGTTACCGGTGCTTTGAATTGCGGTTTAAATGTTCCAGTTTTTAGAACACAGAATGAACACACAATGGATGAAGACTTCTTTAGAATAGAAGATAACGGTACAGAGACGGATATTTCTAGAGAGGATTGTGAGGGTAGTAATCAATATCAATTTTGTATTATGTATATTTGCTTGACTAATAAACAATGTTTATGTTTGCTTTCTACTGTTTTGCCCTTTAGGTTGTTTAACCATATTCAGTGTGCGAGCAAACTTCAATCCGGATGTGACTATTCACTATTTAAGGTTGGTTTATTCAAGTGCTACCAGAAAATTACTTTCCTAATTACCTATGTAACCCGTGGGTTACATTTCAAAATAGCAGGAACCAAATTTCGTATTAATTCAATTCCCTTTTGAATAAACTCTTGACCTCACACAATTCAGGATTTTGCTTTATTGGAGGGAATAAACAAGCCAATCAATATGAGATATACATGTGTGAAGTGAATCCAGAGAACACCAATTCAAATGGCCATAAGTTAAAATAAGAGATATACAGAAAATGCAGGATCCTGTTAAGTCAGAGTACACTTTGAGCTCAAGGAAAAAAATGGCACCAAAGTTCTAGATGTAGAGATGAGTTGCGATGAGTCGTTCCAAGGTGGGAGAACAGGAGTCCGTCATGTTGTGTTGCCGGTTGACAAAAAGTGGAGAGCAAAACTTCAATAGAAGAAATGTAATGCAAAGGAATACTTGGGGATCTTGCAAGATTGATGCTGGTGATTAATGCCACAGATGCCTTGGTGTACTTGTGCTGTGTCTGCAAGTCACAATATATGTAGCTTGGTGGCTGGGATGCCTGGGGACAGCTCTTCAGGTGGACTACAGAGACTCCCCTCCAGACCCTCTTTCAGAACATGCAGTTCAGTAACTAAGATAGAGAGCCAACACTTGTGAACATAAGTGTTGAATGCAGAGTAAACGTACTGTGAGAGTATACAGGACTCATTATGGGCTCTGTCGGCATGATGGGCTATAAACAGGTTAGCTGTGGTGCATGTACTTCAGTTTTGCTATAACTGTGTAGCTTATCACTATCCCTGTGGATACCTTGCTACAGACATACCAGTATTTAGGCATCTTACACAGCAAAATTCAAGTGCGCAAAAAACCCATAATGCCTACAAAGGGCCAAATTACACATTAACCACTCCCTGCCGGGGATTCCAGATCCGGACAGGTATGCTTTATATGCATGGCTGGGGTCTCCGAACTCGGACAACGGGAACAGGGCCTTGTAACAAAAGACCGTACCCGGAACAAAAGACCGGCTGCTGGGAATTACCGACATTTTTTCACTCTCAAAAGTGGAGATAATCCAGCCTTGTTTTGAAACCATATACCATGGTTTGGGGCATTTAGAGCAAGCAGATTACCACCAGGCACTAAAGCGCTCCACCACCACAGCGATGAGCCACACAGCACCACTGCATGCTAATCTGGCCCCCATTGAAAAGAGATCAGCAGCACACTGAGCCAGATTTGTGAACAAAAATACTCTAAAATACTCTGAAATACTCAGGTGTCAATAGATTTTGTCTGTCAGGCCACAGTGGTCACCAGAGTGGTCACAAGACAGTCCTTCGTGTGTTTGTAAGTGTCCAGTAAATGAAGATAGGAATTTTTAAAGAATTTTGAAAACACAAAAAAAGGATAAATATCCCAGCCCAGCATCGTCAACATTGATAACTGCCCCAACAGGAAGTGGTTACAATGATATTGATGAATAAAAAAGCCAGCCTAAAGGTTGAACATTTCTTGTGGGATGTCATCTTTTGCAGGATGGTATCAAACCCATGTGGGAGGATGGCAAGAATAAAGCTGGTGGTCGTTGGCTGGTGAATCTGGGTCGGCCAAAACCCCAGGATGTAGACAGATTCTGGTTGGAATCGGTAAGTGCCAGCATGGATGCAATACATAAGAATTAAAGAACAACTCCAGTGATTTCAATTTTATTTAGTACCGATGTCCCAATTTGAAGGGCTACATGTATGTCTAATAAACTAAGAAAAGTCAAAACCGCCTTTTTGTGTTCATTTGTCGTGTCAAAAGAAATGCATTTTGTAGGCATTTTGTTAGTGAGAGTTCCGCTTTCATGAAAAGGAGCGTGACGTCATGATTCATTAGCATCTAATGAATATTGATTTCTGTGATGTATTACTGTGGAGAGGAAATACAACAGTGCGCTCTATATGCATCTATAGCACACATAGCTGCGGACGACAGTATGAACTTGAAGAATGCTCTCATTCTTCGGAAACTTGAAAAATTTCATTTCACAGAAATAATGCCCAAGACGCACGATTTGGGCATTATTGTAAGTCATGAAGAAAGGAGCACAAACTCTCGACCGAAAAGAGATAATGCGGCACAGTAGAACCTGCACACAGATCGATCTGCTCGCACATGTAGCTCCATTTTCATTTACAGTATACAAAATGTATGTACGTTTATAGCACAACCAGTTGTACCACAGATACCAGTTTCAATCTTTTCTCGGTATTACATTATACAAATTTTGTTTCTCTACAGCGCTTACAGCGGTCAGATTGTGGAAATTTTTCATAAAACTCAGACAGTGTTCAAAGTTTTGGCATAATTACAAAAAATACAGATGCAGTACAGACATGATTTGGTAATGAATATGTGATTTATTAAACACTAAACGCAATAAGAGTTTATTTTCAAAACTTTTGAAACAGTTGGAGTTGGTTTTTAAACAAAATCTAGGCTATAAAAATTTCAAGCACACATAACCAATGAAATGGCCCCCTTACTTGGGCATTCCCTAGCTGGGTGGGAGAATTCTTCTTTACAAGAACTTGGCTGTCTTATGACCAATCTGTTAAAAATGTGGTATGTGTGTAAAGACATTGATTGTGAGTACCTCTTAAGATTTAATTCAATCAAATGAGGGGCTTTATTTTTACATGCATATGGTCATTTATACATGTAGTTATGTTCTCACACGTGTCAGCCTCCATGCATGAAGTATACATCAGTGGGAAAGTACAACATTTATGGCAGACTGTTTTTGATGAAAGGGAATTTTGCAAGAAGGGTGTGTCAAATTTTCAAGACGGCATTTTAAGCATCAGAGAAAAGATGTCCAATGAGGAGTTACACATGTAACAGGTCTAATCAGTCCAATCATTCTTTGTTTATTGTTTTGGAGTGGTCTAGTGGTTAGGGTTCTTATCTTCCTATTGCAGGGTTAGGGTTCAAATCTTGATGTAGAGCTCATGTTGTGTCCTCAGGCAAATCAGTTAAGTCCGTCTTGCCTCTTTTCCCCCCAGAGTATAAATGGGTACCTGTGAAGGCAGAGAGGGATATTGTGGTTGATAAACCTGGTAGCATACTCCCCAGGGAGTTGAGATGATTATAAGATTGTTTCTTAGCCCTGTGAGCAGGGATAATGAGGTGTGAAGTACATTGACAGTCTGTCAGCACTTGAATGCATAATATAAATACATAAGTATTATTATTTAACAATGATAAAAGATGACAGGTGATGAATGTTGTCTTATGTCAGACTATATATCAAACATATTGGTCTTTAGAACGTATCTAGTCTAAGCCTATAAACAGACTGCAAAATAAAAATTGAGAGCATGAACATGTATAATGAGGAAGTGATGTGTTTTCCAAAAGACTTTTTCAAGTGTGCAAATTGTCACCACCGTTATCTCTAGCTGTTGTTCCTCATCGGAGAGTCGTGCGACGATGAAAGTGAATTGGTAAATGGAGGTGTCATCAATGTCCGGAGCAAGGGTAACAAGATTGCTGTGTGGACAGGCAACTATAAGAAGGAGGAAGGCATCATGAAGATTGGGTGAGTCAGAGAGACCATGTCTGGAGAGACACCAGGCTTATAGGACAGGACTGTAGTTGGAATTGTATTGATTAGGAGACTTGGGTTAAAATCAAGCTTGGGTGGGGGACCTGTCATAGTAGGGTTTTTTTTGGTAGCCAGCAGGACCAGTACTTCAAAGTTTCCACTGGTCCTGCTGAAAGTTTTGGTCCTACCGGAACTGCACATGCAGCTGCAGTGAGCAATCCTTGTTAGGGGGCCTACATGTTAATATACTGGATAACTTGGTGCAGTCAAGACTAGGGGCACTTACGAAACGAGTGGATAAGTACGGCGAAACCCTGACGCAGCCAAGCCTTTCGAAAACTGGTCATTGCTGAGGCCATGCAGCCTTTGAACCCCTTTTGTTAGTCTTTAATCTACTAACAAAAGCCAAGCCTGACAATCATTTATCAGGGGGTTTCCATTGTCCTAGCTGAACAACCTGCCTAGCCACAAAGAGCTCATTCCAGGCAGGCTTTTGTCCATGGTTTATTGTTTACTCAAAAGGATTAAGTTGAAGAATTCCTTTGAGGAGCCAGCAATGGTAAGAGTGAAAGGGGGGCAGATGAGAAAAAGAATATACATGTACGCGTGTTCATGCCTGTTTTGTACGTGTTCGAGGAGACATCAACACTAGTAACCGATGTAAAGGCACAATGGGCAGATATAGGCTTCTTTTGTCGCAGGTTTTAAAAAGAGACACTGTTTCTAATTTTCAGGGAAAACACTTGCCAAAGTTCTTGGAAAAACTTCTTAAAGTGGTAATTTTACATGAAAGGAATTTCATGACAGCCACGTAGCCGTGCCATTGATCGATGGCCTTCAATTGCCGCGATGTCTCTTGAAAAATAGCAGTTTCCAGGGCCAGCTTTTCTGCATCATCTCAGGAAATTAGGCTGCAGAGCCCTTTTTATGAAAAGAGGAATTTAAAACTGTTTTGTCCATCTAGGCCTACATTTTCCACAGTGCTCTAAGTGATTGCGACCGACAGCCAGAAATATTGCAGCTCATGTATTATTTGTCCCAGCCCTCCCCTTGCCACAGCGGCGTCTGCGTGATCCCCAAAAATGCAATGCAGTACGATTACCATGCTGCAGCCTACCTTGCCAAAGTACCTGTACGTGTATAACTTACATGCACAGTGCGTAAATAATGCAACTGCCGCTTGTTATTACGAACAGGCTGTAACAAAATTTGGGTTATAACAAACATGCATCTGTGGTCCCGGCTAAAATGTTTACGTTTCTACAGGGAGAAAATCTGTTACAGTGAAATCGCATTGTAGGAAATTCTTGTTACAATGAAAGGTTTTTGTGACTCAGTTGCCTGAAAAACCATTGTTGAAGACCCATTAATAACGAGTGTTGTACGAATCACAGTGTTGAAAACATGTGCGCAATGCAATTGAAGCAATATTGCACTAGTTCCCGCCGTGCCCAACCATCGCCAAAGAAGACATGGTGGAAATGTGTTAACCAGTCTTTGAACGTATCCCAGCTGGTTCAAGTCGAAAAACACTGCCACATTACAAAATTTTTGCAAGTTCATGAAAAAATTGATCTGTTGCCTGTTTGTATTTTCTGTGTTCATGAATTTAATTTGAGGTTGTACTGCTCTTTCATCCTCGTTTCCTACTGCAGCGAGGTTTAGCACCCTCCTCCAGATGCATCACGTACGCTTACATATCGCGAAATGCGGGCATCCTTCGCCAGTTTCCTGTCGTCATTGAATAGCGTAGAGCACATGTCAAAAATCAATTATTTTTTTTGCACTGATTGTAGCAACGCTAGGAAAAATCCCTTCCCAAATCTGATAAAAAATACACCCAAGATACGTTTGCTTAACTATTCTCTCTTCTCAAGAGCCCAACTATTCGCCCAACACTGAATTATTCATATTGCTTCTAAAAGAATAAGCGTGCCCACCAACTAGATTGTGTGCTGACATGACGTACATTTTGCAAGACATACCTATCGAGTCACAATATACCCTCATGACATCATGCTTCTTCGGCGACCATCTCGCGCACAGGCGGCTACGCCATGGTGGGCGAATGAATTCTTGCAGACCTGTACACACAAGTCTACATATGCATGCTGTTAGCTTCGTCCACGTCCATGGCAATTGAAAGTCTTGAAAAAACATCCCTAGCTCGATGCTTTCAATTGCTTTTTATCTCATGTACATTTAATATATGTTTTCATATGACAGTGAAGTTTATTATTCTAGACGCATCATAATGTATTTCAGTAATCGTAAACCGAGAGATCTTTTTGACATTGACATCACATTTACAACCATTATGCCATACAAAATAATATTTGTGCTTCCACTTACCCGCCCAACCTTGCAAATCGTGCCGACCCAAAATCTTTTTATTGAAAAAGAAATATAACAAAAACTGTTTCCAACTCTTGTGCTTATTTCAGGGGTGTGAAATTTTCCCTTTATTTTGTTGCGTATGCTGAATTTTATTTTCTGCTTTTTTGCCATCAACAGGCCAGTTTTTCCTCATCTTCTGCTTTCTAACGATTTTTCTTTTTCTGACAACGCAACCGCAAGGCCAAACTTTCCACGTCTCCTTTCGTTTTCGGACACTGAACAAGAATCTACTGTACATGTACGTGCGTACAGTGATCTGTACATGTAGCTTCCGGTAGCTGCGGCCTGGCTCAAAGTGGAAGCCTTTTGTCTTATCCTTGGGCCACACGGTCATGTATTCATGTAGGAGTCAGTGGGACTCATTACAGCCGTTTCTTTGTGAGCGGAGGTAGTGACTAACAATCTTCACTATAACTCACTTTAGCACACACGAATTTACCACTTGAATAAGGTTAGTTCATTTTGGCTTTTGCTGAAGCAGGGTTTCACAACTGGAGCAGGGCGCAAGAAGCGTGGTTTTTACATGCCCTGTGTGCATCGTTTAGTACAAGCTTTCAAACATTTTCTGGACATTAACTCGTCGAAATATCACTGCAACACAAATGTATAATTGTTCAAAGAGGCTCTGACTTGGATACAATCTTTGTCATCATCAATCCTCAAGTTACAAATCTGCGGGGAAAAAACAGTGGATGGAATACATCATAGACAGGCATTCAACACAGTCCACGCCTGGAAATTCCAAGTGCCAGGGATGCGATATGCATTCTTTGTTGTACCAAAGAATTGAAATTTTGAAAACGTGGTCAGATCAGGTGGGAAATGTGCCAGCTAACTCTACAAACCTCGACTTGGCCGTAGATATTACATTCTAGTTTTTGCTGCTTGTCATATTTGAATCAAAACCTTTCTTACATAGCCGAACAATTTTCATGAAAAACATCAAAATTACTTTTGAATTAAGAAAAATTCCCATCCTAAATGTTTTACCCAAACACTTCAGAAGAAAAAAATACTTCCCTTCTACCCAACCTATTATGCTTTCAGTGTAATAGGAATACTATTATTTTGTTGCCCTTACATTCCGAAGTAAGGTTTAATTTCGTTGGGTGACTTCGAGTTACCAAAATTTTATTGTCCGTCCACAACATCAAAGCGGTAAGTTTTGCTTGGAATCGGTCAAGAGCTGAAGTAAGCCTGCAAATTTATTACCTTTCTATTGTGACAATCATTACAAGGATTCTTGCAGTAATTATTCAAGCCAAACATGGATGTCAAAAATCAGTCAGACATCAGCGACTGTGTAACTTTCTTTTGAATATGACCATTTTTTTAAATTTCAATGCTAAAGGCCAGTCTCGATTTTTCTTTCAAGTTCCTAATATTTTGGTTCCAAATTCTAGTTGGGATCGTAGATTTCATTTCTAACACCTGCTATCTAACATTAGCATTTTTATCAATATAACAGTCGTGACATGTGCTCCTTGTATCTTTGATTTTATAGATGAAGTCTGGCGACTACTGTACATCATTTCCTCCGATGTCAGAAAAATAAGAAAATGTTTGAAGTTGTATTAAATCCATCTGAAACACAATCGTATTGTTTGTTTTAACCGACATGATTTGGACAGAAAACAGATCTATGAGAAAGACATACCTTCATAAATAGGGGAAAATGATCAATCTCTGATTATTGCTTAACCTTGTAAAATATTTCATGTGGAAAAAAATCACATGTGTACAGAACAGATGGCAAACGTCTGTTTAAATGGGAAAAAAAATAGAACTGCTAAAACCTCCACAAAAAACAGCAGACATTTGCACCTGGTCACAGCAAACAGAAATACAGCCATAACAGTGAGAACATTATTCAGATCGCGGCAAGGCCCTCATATTCTCCGGCCCAATCCTACTTGCAAAACCACCTATCTGCCAGAATCAAAAGCAAAAGTGGCTGCAAACATCAAAGCCAACCGACAATGGGCACCCAGATTTTTTTTTGTTAAAGTGGAATTAGGCGGATGGGACTGACTCTGGAGTTGGAATGCCGTCATGTGTGACTGCATCCAAAGGGGTGGGACTTCCCATTTTCATTTAAACAGTGTTCAAAACCATGTGTTCAAGCTCAGACTTGAACCAGAGAAACCGAAGTCTGAGCTGAATCCACTTGTTTCGAAAACACTCTAGATTAGCCCAGCGCTTGGTGCTATGCATGGCAATACTACAGTTCGGATCAGTCTTATGTTGCGCAGCTACAGGTACATGCAGGTACACACAGCAGGCGAAAATATATCCAGATCCACCACACTACTGATTCGAGTAATATGTACACAGATCTTTTTTTTCAGTTCTTCTATATTTTATTAAATTTACCAAATACATAATTGTACTGGCCCACCGGACCACCAGTTTTATTAAATCAGCTGGTCCGCTGACTTTTGTACTGGCCTCGGGCCAGTGGACCACCATTAATTTTGACTCCTGCATGTGAAAGAGTACAGCAGTAGTGATGGCTGGATCAGCTTAACAGAAGCTTGAGATCCAGTCACAGGTCACAGAAGAAACAAACTGTGATGTTTGGGGTTCTAGAGGCAATATCCAGCAATCAGAACTTGAAGGGGGATGCCCCTCTCAGGAAAAGATGTGGTGAATGTTTGTATGAGACAATCACAAGTTCAAATCTACATGTAGCTCAAAATCAACTTTTTAGTTGACTTGTATTTTAAAAAATAATCTGCAGAATCAAATGCAGTTACCTTTGTTTTAAGTGTTTTTGATTGAATGTTTTTATAGGCGTGGATTCAAGGAAGTTCTTCATCTACCACCTAAGACATTAATATCATATGAGGTGAGTCAAATTTAAAATTCATTTTGGTCCTTAGCCACTCAATTGAACATTTGTCATTAAGTGACACAAGTTCATTTTTTACCTTGTGTGTTTTAATGCATACAAAATTCAAAATACTTTTTGATGCCTTGAGTGTCACTTGACATCATTCAAAGTTGTCAGAAAAGTAAATGGAAACATAATAGGAATTTATCCACCCTGAGTTTGCTTGTGATGATGCTTTGGAAGTTCACCATTAATGTCTTGTGTGTATTACAGACATTGAGATGTTTTCCATAGTGGCACAAGGCATATAAAGATGCACTTGCAAGCCGCACATGGAAAGTCATTGATTTGTGATGAAAAAAAGTGTGTAAGGTGCAAAAGGAAACCATTGAAAAAACAGATTTCAAATTCAAGTAACCCTAACCACCCAAGGGTTGCTGGACCTAACCTTCCCCAATCACCCAAACTTCAACACCTTGGAAAGAAACTCTTACCTCACAGTACCCAATCCCACAGACTTCAAAAGTACCTCCTGCTGCAACAGTACCCAATCACACAAACTCCAACAGGTCTTTACCTGTGTAATTTTGTTTGATTGGGTACAGCAGGCTTATTGCTCGGTACAAAGAGAATGGACTGGCTGAAACTATTCAAACTCACACACCATCATGCTGCATATCCATCCCCAACTGCTGGGATCATTGTGGTCAGAAACACGGAAGATTTTCCTTGTTATGGTAATTATTACATAATATTACATATTACATACTGACCATTTCAATGGGAAGCTTTCTATCATTACATAATCTTAAAAAATACATACTCACTGACATTCTTCATGGTAAAAAGTGAGAGGGCCACAGTGCCCATTCAGTCAAATTCAACAGGGTACACGTATGTGCAGGCCCAAAGTACACATTCAAATAAAATTAAACACCAGATAGTAAGCTACCAGTACCCAGTGCCACAAACTCACACATTTTGCTGGTGTTGAATCCTGTGTGGTTAGGAAGGGTTAGGGTTAATGCATTACAAAATTGGCATCTTTGCTCAAGCTGTTTAATAGTGAATAAGTATTGAAAGTGACAGTGTGGCTGTGGAAGAAAACTGCAAGCGCAGTGTGGTATTGCACTAACAGTAGTCTAAAGAGGGCGCCGAAGATACACAAGCCACTGAAATTCACCTCAGAGATCAATCCTGAGAGGTAGCTTTAATACGACTTTTAGGATAAACTTGAAATCGATTTTGCAACTTAAGATTTAATAAAAAACAAACAAAAAAGATATATTTTTAGAAACCTTAAACGTGAAATCACGGCAAAACATCACAAAAACAGAGAACCATAGTATCAGAAGAGGGTGCACTTCAGTTAGACTAAAGAGGGCGCTATTCAACATGGCAACAAAACGTTCGGCAGTAAATTTTGCTATACCGAATGACCGCTGTATCGAACATTTAGCGTGGACCCCATTGTGTTCGTTATAGCGGCGTTCCACTGTTTTGGTTTTGTGCTCAAAGGAGCCCCACACCGGCAAAGAAAAGAAGGTGGTGGTTAACCATTTCAAAAGGAAAATGGGTTGAGTGCAACTTTCATACAAAATATGCTCAAATATACATTTCAGTGACAAAAAGGAGCTTAAAAAGTGTCCAAAATTTTTTAATTGATGCAACGCAGTACCAGGAGAAACCACGAAGAATGTTAATTATATTAAATGAATGAAATGATTAGAATACAATGCATTGCAAATTGAAAGCATTGTGGAAAATATGAGTTTGCAGCATTGACTGAAGGCAGTCTAAGGTGATGGCATTCCTCACTTGTAATGACAACTTAAATTTACAGTTACTCAGTGCTCAGTTAATATTCTAATAGAAATAGGTTGGTTGTGTTTGCCATGCCACATGAACCAGCATAGGTTACTGACATCTTATCCCAAAAGGATCTCATTGCTTTGTCAAGCCAAATCATCTCTTGTTGCTACTCTCAGTGGTGCACTGGTTTTTCTTGTTTTTACCACAGGCCCACGCAGACACGATGTCCAAAACAGGATCTGTGGCAAAGAGCCGTTATGTGGTATGATAGTGGGCTGCCATAGATGTTACGTGTATAGCTTATATGATATGTAGAGGGGCACCGGTGTACAGCAGGACATGTACAGTGATTTCTGTATGCCATAAAGGTGCTGTAATGTAAGGGGATGGGAAAAGGAAATAAGAGCTGAAAATTTATGGAAGGCATTTTGCCATGTAATGGCTAGGACCTTTCTAAAAGCCACTTTATTGGCAAGGTCATCTTGCTTTTTCAGCCAACATCAAGCATGATATCTAAGATGAAGATGTCATCTAAGATATCAGCTTGATTACATGAGTAAGGAGGCAAGTTTTCCCAGATTGGATGGTCTGGAGCTAAAATTACTCTTCGTCAAACCAGCTTGATTAAAAAGATCTGTTGAAGTCAGCCACATGGAGTTCCAGTAATAATTTATTGTTATTGATATCTGTGGCATCACAACCCCGAAAAAGAGAACTTCAGGTGGCAGTGGCCCACCAAGTAGCTTTTTAGCAAAGATGATGCCACAACTTTCATTACTATTTATTATTTTTATTTATGCCTTAGTTCTGACTGGAGACAATGTCATCAGATTTTCCCTCAAAAGACATTATTGGTTTTTGAAAAATCAATTTCTAAAAAAGTCAAATTCTGTTTTGAAACTTAAACAGCTTTTTTCTGTTATTTTATGTGTTTTAACTTTAAAGTGTTAAACATTGATTTATGCAAATCTTACAATTGACTTATGGTAAGTAATCAGTAGAGGTCACAAAAGGCAGGTGAGGACTGTATACATATATTTTCACAAAAGACATTGGCAGTTATTATCAAAAGTATTGTTGGCGAGGAGTTGATATTTCCAGCACTCTCAAAGTTTTTTGTTCTGATCTGAGTCTCAGAATGGGTGTTCCTGTCCCTTTTTGTAGGATTGTTTGGCAAATGGTTCACACTCATGCTTCAGTGGTGACTGCACCTGAAGAAATGCCAAAATGAAAGCTCACAGAGGTTTGGGCTTGAATTATTCTAGGAGAGCATACATGTATGTGTGATAGCTGCATTATCCTGAGTGTGGTTGCCCATTGTTGAAATGTCCATGCAGGAAAGTATGGGGCATTTTCTTCAGGTAAATAGTGAAGCAGCTTTGAGTAGTTTAGCTGAGTCAGTAAAGAAAAACTTATTCCTGCGCTCAGCGTGTACAAGAGAGAGTGTGGCTTACTTTTCTGGGTGGAGCATGCATTATTTCTGTGTTTCATGAGTCAACTGAAAGATAATGCATCTAACATCAAGTTCACATACATGTCCAATTGAGTCATGCATGCAAAGAGACATAGTTACTAGTGGGATGGTAGAATGTGTACATGTACATGAGGAAATATAACTCACAAATTGTCAAGTGAAGGTGGTACTACAAGGAATATCCCCCTGTTGTGATTGTTGAATTGATAGTTTGTTGGGTAACATACGATATTGTGTTGTGTATTCTCAGTTATGTATGTGACCATTGCCAAGACATCTTTTGAATGGGCACACAGAAAGTACAATGTTGTGTGTAAATGAATGACACGACTGACATGACTGCATCATTCATGTTAATTTTCCAACAAAAAAACAGTGTTGGGCAATTTTAGTGAGCTTGTTAGTGGGGGTCACAAGACCCTTTGTTGAACTTCTTGGTTTCCATCGCACTTTACATGAGCTGGATCCTTGTGGGTTCAAAAAGGACTCAGTTGTAAAGCTGAAATAAATATGGTTGATTCACAATACATGTAGTGGGCCTCCAAGAGTTTGCAACACGTTGACCAGTCACAGTGTGCAAAATCTACTAATCCTTTCCAAACATGCATTGGGTCGACAGATTTCATGCATTGATTGGCAAACACATTGCAAACTCTTGGAGGCACACTATTGTGAATCGCCCCATGTTGCGGTTGAGAGTTGAGAGCAGCCTATCCCACAAATTTCATCCAGTGCTAATTTACCAATGGAAAAAAGGCAGAGTAACCATAGAATATCTATTTTGATTTCATTTTGACTCTTAAAATTAAGAATTTCCTTTTCCTTATCAACATTTCATTTCTTCTCATTACCTCTTAATTTTGTACAAACGTAATTCACGCAGAACAAAGAAATTTGAAATGAGAGAAAAAATAGGGATATCTAGTTTGTAAATTGTATATATCTTGTCACAGTGCATTGCATGATTACATTTTGCAGGTACATGTAGTTCTTAGATGAGTAATTAAGCTGTGAATAGAAATTTATACCATTTCTATGTATTTCCTGGTAGTGATCTTTAGGAATTGGTTGGGTTGGGAGCATCTCCAGTTGTTAAATATTTCAGTCATTTTGTCGTGATTGGTGATACTGTTGAATTTCTAACTTAGCCTGGGGCTGTGTTGTATTCGGTTCATGACTGTTCGGCAGTGCTGCCATCATCTTGTATGAGGAATTACTTGTTTCATTCATAGGGGCTTGCATACCCTCAGGGATAGGAACATTCAAAATGGAACATGAAGTCAATGTCTACTGATATTTTCTAGCAAAAGAAGGAATGTGGGAAACAAAGTGGAAGTTTACATGTAGTTAGGAATAAACTACCTTTAAATCTATCTACACTGAACCATTTCAAAATCTGCTACCACCCTATCACTGTTAGTATAGAGGTTGTAGGAAACTAAACCTGCAGAAAAACCAAGACATTATTACAGAAAATTTATTGCAGAAACTATTCACCATGAAGAGCATTTGCCGATTATGTCACACATTACAGTCATTTTCAAAAGTTTAGGACCACCATATAAAATGCATTAACCAGAAGTAAAACCAAACTTAAACCGATCAATCATGGCAACTTATGTTTATTTTCAATGTGTAACTTTGGTACCTTGGTTGAACATTTTTGACTACATTTCCATGATTTGACATGTTAACCACTTCCTGCCGGGGACTCCGGGATCAGAGCCGTATGGTTTATATGGGTGGCCGCGTCGCCGAACTCGGACAAAGGAACAGGGCCCTGTAACAAAAGACCGTACTCCGAACAAAAGACCAGGCTTCTGGGCATTACCAATATTTTTCACTCTCAAAAGTGGTGATAATCCAGCCTTCTTTTGAAACCATATACCAGGGTTTAGGGCATTTAGAGCGAGCGGATTACCACCGGGGACAAGAGCGCTCCACCACCGCAACGATGAGCCACACAGCACGGCTGCACGCTAATCTGGCCCCTATCGAAAAAAAGGTCAGCAGTGCACTAAGCCAGGTTCGTGAACAAAAGAAAGTTATACAACACCGCACAATCTGGGCTCTGTTTACAAGGCTGCTAGCCTGGCTGAAATACTCGGGCGTCAGTGAAGGTCACTGTCAACTTAGAGTAGTGCCTAAAGATTACTTGGTGAGGCTATAAATGACTGTTAAACGAAATGATGAATTTTTGAAGGATTTTGAAAATGTAAAAAATGAAAGTCATGCAGGCCCAGCATCATCAACATTGAAAAATGCCCCAGTATGAAGTGGTTAACAGTCTAATATTCAGTGTGCCCTCCCTTATTTCTGACAGCTTAGACTGGTTTTTTATACCCATGCTGCCTTGCAGACAAAATGTCATACAAGACCTGCCTTTGCAAAAAATTTCATTCAAATGGGTATACAGCACTACACTGATGTTATGCACCACTGTAAAATCAATGTCAAGTAATAATTCAGTAAGACAGTGTAATGCAGGCCCAGTGACAGAAATACCAATAAAACTCAAGGTGGTCTTAAACTTTTACAGATGACTGTACCAATGCTCCCAACCTCCCAACTGTTCACGATATTGAGTGTGTCTGATTTCTGAGTGTGCAAATATTGTTCATTATCCTGTCAATACACACACTACGAACATGTAACAAAAGAAACACAGTGCACTAACAATGACCGTCCATTGTTATTTCACCATATATGTACTTCTCTTGTTTAGATGTTCGTAGTGATAGAAAGCACTCGCATTGTAGTATTTTTAGACAGTTCTGTAGAAGGGTAGAAACAGTACAAATCAATACAAAGCTAAGCTTGATCTAATATGGACACTTAAGTTTTCTGAGATTAGTATTTCAAATTTTGGTAGATTCAGTGGTGTCATATAAAACAGAATGAAGGTAAATAAATGACTATTAGTAGGTCTTTGTTACTAATACAATGTGCCATTAGCTGTGTAAATGGCACAAGTGCATGTGTATAGGCATGAGAGTGATACAAGGGATAACAAAGTGTTATATATAAAACTCTTTAGATTTGTATACACTGTAAGATGTCATTTTCTCCTTTGTAATTATGTAGGAGGTATATATGGATTATGGAGGAATTCCTCCATGCACATTGGGCTTGAATGGGCCTCTTTACATGGACAAGCGTCAACAGAAAGCAGTGGTGGAACACGATATGCTGTATGATTTTGTACATTTATACAAGGTGAAAACCTACTCTCTAGGCAAATCATTAGGAATGTTCTTGACTTTCCACAATAGCTGTAGTGCCCATGGAAGAACTTAGGACACATTCAGGAAGCACTTGACCATGCTTACAAGTCTTTCATTCTGTAACCTGGAGACATTCGATTTGCCAGAACATGCAGTCTCAGTACAATACCGGGGTATCTCTCAGAAACAGCTGTGAAGTTTCTAAATGCAGCACTTTATTGCCCTACCACACCATTACACATGTACATGTACTCGTAGTCTGCTCTACATGTAAACTGTTCGGGGAAGCCATTAGTGTATGACCTGTTTTTTGTTTTGGCCTTTTCCGTGTATATAGGCCTAACAGTGAAGATTTTTTAGTGGCTGTTGTGTGTTTTTTTCAGATAGATGTACATGTTTGATTGTACAATGTATCCATTTATAGCCTTTTTGCAAAGTTCACCATGCTTGTGCAGCTTTGATTTTTTCTTTTGGCCAAGTTCTCTGCAAGTACATAGTGGTAGCTCTCCTTTGGATATTGAAGACCAGTAGGATATTTCCTAGATGCTCCAACTTGGTTCCTTTTTCTGTCAAACTTAACATCTTCTGGTGAATTTTGAGCGAGGAAAAACTTATTTGTGGAGGGCTTAACCAGTGCTAGAATAGACCAAACATTTCCAATCGCTCAACCTTTGGATATCTGTTGGTTTTACCTGATAATAAAGGTTGGTTCAAATTGTGTATTAGTTTATGCCATGTGAAGATGATGGCTATTTAAGAGAAAGGTTTTTCCTTTTATAATTGTAAGCTTTAACATTTGTTTTCTAATTGGTAGGAAAGTCAGTGTTGCTGTTACGTACATGTACTTCAATCAGAATTTTGGCCAAATACCTTTTCAAGGGGACAAAGGGAAATTCAATGTAATATTTATAGCATTATTTAACAGCTTTTGGTCTGATTTTTTGTGTAGTCTCAGTATTTGTTAACTGTAAGTAACCCAGATTTACATGTAGTTTTTTTCAATCCAAAATTTACTTCACATTTTTGTCTCTTACGTTTATTGTACAGATGGGGTACGAATAAGAATTAAAAATGAACATTGTATGCAGAGCTTTGTTGATTGCGCCACAACAGAAGAATGTTATGAAACACATTTTATATGATAGTAATTATTGCATTCTAATAAAACTATAACTTTAAATTAATTGTTCATATGACTTTGTGTACTTCTGATGCCATTTGATAATTTCATAAACTGTGTTGTTTGATATTTTTTAAAGACTTTGTCACACAGTAAAAATTCGGCCATCAATCTCTGATGAACGGACCATGTGTCAAGTGTTTAAAAAAATCATGTTTTAGTTGGGGGGGTGCTGACTTGTTACATCCAAATGCGACCAAACATTTATTACTGGAAATACAGATTTATTCAGTGTTACCGTGATGTGCACGCTCATAACACCATGCAAATTGGGGCCCATTGTCTGTCACATATCTCATTACTAAACAGGATTTGACCAAAGGTTATCTAAGCAATTCCCACTGTTTTGTGAATCACTCGTTAACCATGAAATTTCCCCCCAGCTCGAAGAGTTGTTTTTCCCCCACGAGGATTTCGCCATGAAGGGATAAATTATATTCCCAGTAACCCTCATATCCACTACCATACCCTTCAAATTCCAGCAGGGAATTTGACAGATTTTGCAGGACTGTGATCTGCAATTACTTCAGAAAGATTGAATCACTGGTGTTTAGCATGGTTGGGGAGAATTCAGTGAAGTTCTCATGAAAACAGATCAGGAACTTGCATTTAAATCTTCCAAGCTATTTAATCAGAGGGCAAGGATGCTAAGAAGTACATGTTGGAGAAACTTCACTTCACAGGAAAAATATTTTAACAGTGTAAACAATACATTCACTAATTTCACTCCTTCAAACGATGTGGGTGTCTTACAAAAAACAATATTTTAAAATAGCTATTCACATGATTTTTTTTTCAATAGTACTTTTAAGGTACTGGTTATATCAAAAAGGGTAGTTACATTTAAGACCATCAAAGTTTTTTCCCTCTGCTTGAAACTAAAGTTAAACCATAGTAGATGCAAAAGGAGGCCATGTAGAATGACGTGTCATATGTTTATTATGCCCGGGATGCATAAAGTACGTACTGTACACTTTCTGAGCATAATATGCGTATGATGCAAGTTGTTCTGTGTGACCTGCTTTTCTGTCTACCTTAAACCACGCATCACAAGATGACATTTAATGGGAAGAATATATGGAAAAACCACAAAAGAGAGAATCAACATCTCTCTAAAACAGTTGTTCTACACTTCTTGCTTACAGTACATGTATTTCACAGATAGGAAATAGTTTGTTCAATTAATTACGTACAGTTCCTAAGAAAATATAATTTGCATTTCTAATAAATTTGAATAAAATAAAATAAAAATAAAATTCTCTATCCAGCAAAAATATTTATATCTTTGGTCTCTTTCAGCTCACTTTTCCAACAAAATACAACAAATGAACTGGCCAGCAGTAAAACGAGTTGCAGCCTTGCACACTGGCCACTTCTACATGTTTCAAGAGGTTTTTGCTCTCATAAGATAAGTTTCATAATTTTACAATCATTGGTAAAAATTTTCTAGTGACTAAATTTGTGCAGCAAATAAGGGATGGAAATTACCAAATTATTCATCCCAGGCTTTACACCAACATGACATGTACATGTACATATGTATGAAGCATTTGCTATGCAACATGTACATGCATGCAAACACTGCAATGAAATGCCCATCCAAGGCCCAGAATGGAAGAAATTTGTATCTGATAAAAAAAATATGTGCATACATGTACAATGGTCAATCCTGTTTAATACACCACTGGATGCCCCATGATGGTGGGGCAAAGAATGCTGTTTGTGGTATTGCTGATTAAGGGTATGGCTCTTCACTGTCATGCTAATGGCAAAACCCCAAGCCATAGCCTCAAATGCTCAATAGCTTGTTAGACTGGAAAGGACTGTGGGAGATGTGCATTGCAAGATGGATCTCTTAATTATGGACCATCGTGCCTTTCGGATCTATTTTACCACATCCTAACAATGGTAAAAAACCTAGAGAAGAGTGGTCAAAGTTCTCATGACTGCAAACCAACCACAGCCCATGTCAACAGTCTATGTCATGTTGCTATAATGTAATGTGATTCAGGCACCAGTTTCAAGTGAATTAATTGGGCAAGAGTATTAAAGTCATAAGTAAAATGCTAGCCCCGTGCTTCAAGTGCATTGCAGACACATCCCACACGATACATCTACTAAATTACATGGTATCGGTACATAGCCTGGCTACGCCAGGCCCCACTTGCTCATGCCCGAGTTCAGGTGAACCCGATGAATCCATCTATTCATTACATTCCTTACATTCTTGGTCAGCACATTGGAATGCAAACTTATTCCCTTGTTCATCTATTCAAATGTCAAGTAGTAAGGAATCCAATTTCCAAATGTCATAAATGTAATTTCCTGAGATGTATGAATACAATATTCAAATGTAAGACTAATTTACACAAATTACACTAATTTACACGAACACGAATATGAAACTTAACATAAAGCTAAACACCAAACAGCACAAAAGTTTGGAATGGAACGTTAAAATTGATGAACAACTTCACTAAAAGCAATATCATGCACACTTTTAAAGGGCATGTTACCTTGAAAAGTTGAATTTTAAAAAAAATTAAATAAAATAACAGCAAGAAACAATAGGATTAAAAATCATTTACTATATATCCATTCATTACCAAACTCTTCACAGAAGTGTATGAGCTGTCCAAACTGGGTCTAATTTGTAACTCGGAGAAATTCAGATGTCCAACTGGTACCTTTTGGTTAGGAAATAACAGATCAAGTAATAATCTCTTTATGTTTTTCATTTGGTTCCATATTAGTCATTGTCATATCTCTGTCTTTGATAGTAGAGCCCAGAACGACATAACAGGGCAATATATATGCATATCACACCGTGAGATATCTCATTCTGCCAATCTCACATGAACAAGACAGAAGAGCTTCAGGATGTTCAAGAGTGACCGTTGTTGCTCATTTAGTCACTTTTGCGTAATACCCATTATACGTTTTGTTGATTGGCTACCAGGGAATTTGATCAATGGTCGTGCTTATATAACAGACTTGTTTCCACCCCGCAGTGTTTAAGGTACTGGTAATGCAGGGACCGCTAACCAGACTACATTACATGTGAACTTGTTCTCACTGGTACCTGCACTACTTTCACATTAGAGTTAAAGCAATTAAAGAAAGTGAGGGAACAGTGCATGAGATAATATCGCTAACATCTGTTATGTTAATTATTTGTGACAGTAGACCTATCGTCTTTTGAAATTCAAAGCTCGTTCAAAGCTTCTTTAGGATAAATTCCTCAGCCTCAACAAAATTAAGACAGAACAATTGTTGACTGCCGTGATATAAGATATGACGTTTTGAACACAAGAGGGGCGCATAGCCTCCCAAGGTGAAACTGAGGGTGCTACGCATGCCCTAGCATATTCAAAACTTCGTATCTCACATCAAAGCAGTCAACACAGAGTGTTTGTAAATTAAATTTACGATATGGAATTCAAATTATATCCCGATTATTTTTATGAAGTGAGCAGTACAATATTTTGTCTAATGAAATGTTCTCAAAAGCTGTTCCATTTCATTGCAAAAAAAAATTACCATTAGATTATTTGGCATCAAATTACATGCAGTACAATTAAAAACAATATTAAAGCAAAACAAAAGATAGCACAAACTGAGACTTAAATGGCATACACAGACAAAATATTGCCTTCCAAAAAAGTAATAGTACCAGGAATATACTTTGCAGGAATTCTAGCAGGCTATGGGATTTGCAATAACCATCTCCCCATTGTCCATATTACAACTGGTACTAGTCACTGGAAAACTGTCACCACTAGAGGGTGCTGCAGCACTTCCATTATTACCCTCCCTCCTGCTGGTGTTAGGACCATGCTTGTTTTCATTTGAATCCATGGCAACACTTGGAACCTTATTTGAATAAACCAGATCACTTGTTACTCTACCACTATCTTCCATGTCACTAGACACCTTGGTTTCAACTTTTGATGAAGCAGCACTTGCTTTGAGTGGATCAGTTGTATCTGGGTGGTTGTGAAGAGGAGAATGAGGGACAGCAAACAGGTTCTGCTCCACAAAACCGTTTGGCTCTAGCTGATATATGTTGGGATCAACTTGTTTATGGGGATGGAGCATGGCGTTGGCACTTGCTGGGTGTGGTGGGAGGTCATCTAGGGTGTAGGGCTGTTGCTTGGATTGCAACGACTGTCCGTTCTTGAAATAAAAGAGGAGGAAGCATCATGTCAACATTGTTGTACTAGTACATAATCCCAGAGGATGGGATCTTTTTTTCGTCATTACGGAAGAACTGTGATTAGTTTGGTTTGGATATCAAGGTCAAGATAATGTGGGTAATGTCAAAGATTATGGATTTAAACTTGAGGAGTGCAGTGGAACAAGTACACCGTTGATGTCAGGAACCACTTTCAAATTATGGGACCAAAGGTGCATGTGGACAACTTATCAAATTTAAAAAATCAAAATTACTTGTGTACTTCACAGACAAAAAAAAAAATGATTTCACAAGATTTTTAGGGCAGACGTTCTAAACCACACTTTGTAGAATGTGCCAAAGCTGACATGAAAGCATTTGTCACACATTTTTCTTGGAATTTAGGGGTTGGTCTCTATTCCATATATCCAGGTGTCACTGCTTTTTACTAGTTCCCATATTTCCAATAATTGCATCCCACTAGTTTGAACCTTGGCAGTTGACCAGCTACCTTTGTGCCTCCCTTCACCCTGAACAGGGTACTTATGAGGGCAGACTGTACTTGAACAGCCTTTACAGTATGTACTACAGCAGGTGTCTGAAACTGACCATGGATGCAAACTTTGAAGAGTAAACCACAAGAAGTCACACTTTATAGATGACTTATTGAAATTGTTCTACTTTTGGAAACTTATTATTTGGGTCCTGATGTTTAGCTAAGTTGCAATTCTGTGGGCTACCGGTAGATAATTAGCTGTATCAAAAGCAGTCTGGAGAAAAAAGTTTGATCAAACCATGTACCTGTAAAATATAATATACCGGTACTTGCATGGGTGCATGTCAGTGATAATGCAACAAAGTGGAACCAGACAGTCAGTGAAATAGTACACTGTGACTCATAACTAATTTCCACCTCTTACCTCACTTCTGACTTCAGAAGCCTGAGGTAAGTCACTGAATGCTGGGTTGGTATAAAAAGCCCCATCCCTCGGTTTGCGGCGACGCACACCAAATGGCTTTCCAAATGCTTTTCTGGAAAGGGGAAAAAAAAGCCAAAATATCATTTTCTCATTAGAGCACAACACTTTAGTACAATTAAAATTGAGCTGGAAATTATTTCCCAAAGTTGAATTAAACTCTTGTCAGAAAAATTGAAAATAAGACAAGAAACTACTTCAAGGAGCTTGCAGTGTAAACTCGCTGATTGCAGGTCTCTTTGTGCTTCTCCGTCATGTGCATGATGAGTAGGCTCTTGGTGCATTACATGTTACCAGCTTAAAATTACAAAACCTGCCTTCAATAAGGGTGAACCATGCAAACTATATTAACTGCTAATAAAAACTGCATCTAAAAATGGCCATATCTTTCTGAGATTGTATTATTTTTGTAATACAGTGTTGTACACAGAGCTAGAACACCCATACACGTACACAGCAGGTGTACCCACTGAGTACCCAGATCACCTAGTTAACAGCTACAGTGTACATGTACATGTACATGTAGTTAACAGCAGGCCACATACTGTAAGAATTCCTTTGCAGGTTCACACACATTTGTGACAGACACAGGGAACATGGCCACTTTCCCAGCATGTAATCAACCCAGCATGTAGCATTTCTGTAAAGACAGGTACATGTCATGTACACACTCCAATTTGGAGATTAAGGGCAAAATCCACTGTGTACAGCTGAGGCTGTCCTAATGCACAGACCACATAATCCAATATCTCAACCTTAGAACTTAGTTGGTGCCACTGTACAGGGACAGAAAACACATACAATGCCAGTTTGTCAAAATTTCAGTAAATACATGTAAAGGTCAATTTAAAGGTTACATTTAATACATGTAAAGGTTAATTTCTAATTCAAAGGAAACAATCTTTGTAAGTGCAAAGCAGGTACATGTAAGTGATGCATGTGACATTTACCTCAAAAGAACAGAAATTCCACTTTTAGACCATGATTAATTAAAAGCAGTTTGTGTTGCATGATGGATCTGCCCGGAGTCCTGTATAATAAAAATTACTGTTTATGTTCTGTCTGCTGATCTGACCTGATGTTGATGACAACTTTTGGTGTTTACTTTACCAGGTACAGGGGCTCGACATTTTTCGCTGCCTTTTAGCACAGTGCCATTGGTGCTAAGGACTGAAAGACAGAGCATCACCAGGGCCCAAGGTACATGTACATGTATACATGAATAGTGGGGTACTTAAAAGAAAACACTCAGCCAATCAAATGCTTGGCAAAAGATCTAGTGCACTCTTGGGAAAAACAGCTCAAAGTGACTACACTAGCTGTATTAGTATGTCAGAGTAGGGCAAAATTCAAATCTGCATCAAGTGCCAGGCAACGGAACACATGAAATTTTAGCCGATTACCAAATTTTCTGAGCAAAACACCTTTCCAAAAGCAATTGTGAGCATGCCAGCTCAGTAGGGACCTGGACTTAAATACTCTGAAATGGAAGATACCGGTACATGGAAAGTGCACTCCTGCATAACAAGTCACATACGGTACAGGTTAAGCTGTCCGTCTGATTGGAGGTACATGTACATACGTACATGCATCATATCTGAATGTACATGTACATGTACATGTATGGTCTGCATAAAGCCCTGTTCTCATGTAACACAAGGTTGAGAGTCCAATGAGTACAGAAAATACAGAACCGAATGACAGATACACAGTAGCTTACAGGTAGAAATACCATCGTTATTTTGATGGCTACACGAATGGTGGCCAAAAGGTTGCAGGCAGTAAATACATGTACATGTAGGTCCAAAATTGCCTGCATGAATCGAATCACAATTTGTACACTGTCAAACTCTCTGCTATTAGAGCATTTCCTGGCATGTGGAATGGTGATGGGCCTTATGATTGATTTCTTTTTTGGGGGAGGGGGTTATCTCTGGAGTGAATATCTTCAAACTCATCAGTTAAGCCACTGAAAATTAAAAGGACAACAAAAGATGAAGTGACCTTTAATTTGATATACATGTACATGTGTCTTGAACACCTGAGCAACTTGTATTTTTCCTGATTTTTTTAAGTTGGAATGTTTATCACTGTTGACTATGGCAACTTATTTACTGGTCTGCACGAACAATGAACGAGCAGATGGACAGATGGCCAGAAAGGACAGGTGGCCATCGACTCAAAGCAGTAACAGGTGCCCACTAGGACAGGAAACCATAATGGACAGTCAGCCATACTGTACAATAGCCGACATGAGCAGAAGCCGATTTCACAAAACTTTACTTGATGTAACTCCACTGCTACATTTATTATGTAAGTTGAGCAACAAATGTACACTTACATGTATGCACTGACTGTGTACATGTAAGTCTGTGACTTACGCAACAAATGGTGGCATGATATACACCTATACACAGTCATTTTAGGTGGCGTAAGTTGTGCCAAATGAAGCCTAAACGAACAATTTGATCAGCTTATTATGTTTGGTTATTATGTTTCATTGCTGAACTTTATTCAAGGCTTATATGAGAAACATACAACTTTTACAAGTTACAAGTTATTACAACTTTTTGTGAAATCGAACGTAAGTATATTGCACAGCTACAGCATAAATTTGTGGTAGTCTTACGCATGGTTCAAAGTTACGCCAAGTTTCATGAAATCGGCTGCAGATAGTACAGATAGGCATTTAGCTGCATGTACTGTACATTGTAAAATTACTAACAGGCTGTGGACAGGCAGCCACTACGGACGGAACATTGAAGGGCAAGTGGCTACTACAACACAAACTGATGAAAGCCAAAAATATTTACATGTATTTACATGTGCCTACATGTGCAAAGAGTGAGTAATTATGTTGAGTCAGGTGACCACCCCAGACAAGAGTAGATGGACAAGTTGAGGGGGACAGAAAGAACTTGAATATTTCTTACTTTGTACAAGAGTAATTCAATATGTACATTCACTACTTACTAAAACTCTGTTACTACCTGAAAAATGCACAGCTGACAAGCAGCACCACCATTCCTGCACAGGATAATGCACTCAGTAATACTCCGAGTGCCGGGACTACATGTATGCTTGGACTTTTGAAACCTCCTGCAAATGAGCAAAAGGAAACTTCACAGTTAAGTAACAAATACATGAAAAAAAAATCTGGATACTTCTGCTGTACAGTAGCTTATGATGCCCTATCAGCCCCGAGCAAGACTAAAAGAGGACACAATTTTCGTATCAATTAATGAAGGCTCCTTTGGTGGGAACTGCACTTCACTGGTTCACAAACGACTATGAAATACACCAGCTACACTTGTAGTCGCATCCTTACAAACTGAACACTCCCCTGCAACATGGCTCTTTAACCAATGAAGGGGCGTTTTTGCTCAAGGCAGATTACGCTTACAAAAAGTCACCCGACCTCCCACCCGAGTAAGCTTTTTTAAGATTTTTTGCAAGCTCTTGGACAAGCACTGAGCATACAGTGTTTATCAATATATACGTTGGGTATGGGCAAAACCTGTTATATAAATTAACATCTCCCCAACACACACACAAAAAACATCTTGAAAATACAAAACTCTCAAATGTCTACATGTACTTAAATATCTCAATGTACCGGAATGTGTATGTACAAGGGTGATAACTCTTATGTTTTAGTTGAGATGTACATGTATATATATTGGACAGTTGTCTCAAAAATTCTTGATATCAAACTGCGGAGGTTTTAGTTGTGACAGATTGGACTCTGGGAATGCCTTTTCTGGACTGCATTTCCATACTTGTCCTTTAGGCACGCGTCTGCTAGACAATTTGAAGTACATGTACATGTAGAATTCAATGTAAAGTGGAGAACATGTACATGTACAGCAATGAATTTAGCAACCAATGGCAAGTAGCTATTTTGCATTCTCAACCCGATGCCATGACTAAGCGTCACAAACACACAAATTAAAGAGAGAGTGCCATACATGTATAAGAAGAGTTTGTGCAGTCTTTCACAACACCTTCATAAATCATTCAAAATCTGAGGGGGTTTCCAAATGTTAGCCAGTTCTCTTGTTTTGCTTCAGTTTCATGTATTTAGTTTCATAAGATCACCCCATCTGGCTCAATGCATTTCTATGTGTACTTTAGGCTTCAAAAACAATTTTATAGCAGCAACGCAATGTGAAACTAATGTCTGAAGTACTTTCATTTGGTTTTGGAAGTGAATGTAAAGTCAAATGATTGAGTAGCATTATGAGATAAATCTGATGATTAAAACCATTGTGGAAAATGGCTGAGGTCACAGATCGGAAACGCAGCGTTTCTTTGTCATCAATGTTGTTACTAATTCATATTTTTCTTTTCAACTGATACAACTGTTGTGCCATTTTATGTATTTAACCATTTGCTGCCAGGTGCTTTAAAAATGCACTGCACACATATGGGCGATTTTCAAGATTTTTGTTTTCAAAATTCTTTACAAATTCATCATTTTATTTAATGGACGTTTACTCCTACACGAATGACTGTTTGGTGGCTACTCTGAGCTGACAGGTACCTTCATTGACTCCTGAATATTTCAGCCAGGCCTGCCGCCCCATTAAAGAGAGCCCAGAATTGTGATGTGTTGCATAATTTCCTTTGTCCACAGTGAAAGCGAGTAGCATATTTCAAACACGGCTGGATTAGCATGCAGCAGTGCTGTGTCGCTCATCAATGGGGCCCTGGAGCACTTTTGTCCACAGTGCTAATCTGTGGGCGTGTCATGCCCAAAACAGTGGTACACTGTTTAAAAACAGTAACGGATTACCGTGGAAAAATGCAAGCCGAAAATGATGGCAATTCCCAGCAGCAGGTCCTTTGTTCCGAGTACGGTCTTCTGTTACATGGACCAGCTTTTTTGTTCCATTTCGGGCACCCAAGCTCTGCGTATAAACCCATAGTGCTCGAAACAGGGTTCCCTGGCAGCAAGTGGTTAAAAGATATTTGCAATGAAAATTCTGAGTTTGAAGGTGTTTTTAAAGTTCATGTAATAATTTAATTTTGCTTCTTTTGCATCACTGTTACCATAGAAATTACAGTGTAATGTCAACCAACTGGCTGCTACACTGTACCGGTACATATGTAACAACTCTAATAATGTAATTAACCTTGTTAATACGAATTCTTGTGAACATGAAATCTTGGTCTTGACAGAATACATGTGTGTACACTATGATATGTTACTAGCATTTTGGCTACATCTACACATGTTGGTCAACCAGCAGAAATGTTTGTACTGAAGAGAGTCAGCTGCATATCGATGCCAAAAAATAGTTATGCAAGCAACTTCACTTGGCACATTCCGTTTTACAATGTGAGTTGTCTCTTGACACAACTTCCTACCTTGAATGTTTGTGTCAGTTTTCACAGCTTTATCAACGCTGTCAGTCATCTTGTGACCTCCTTTACTGGCAGTTGACCTTTGCCCTGTGACCTCAGAGGTGAAGTCTGACGAGGCTAAATAGAAGAAAGTACTGTTAACTGGTTTCCTGTGCACATCTGCCTCATTTTCATCATCCTCATTCTCCCTGGACAATGTGGTTGCTGGTTGCCTAGGTAATAGAGTAGCAAATAGAGTTTCTGATGTGGAAACTGAATTATGCGTATTGGCCAAACCGGTCGAGTTGGTAGTTTTCATCTGCAAAGTTGTTTCAAAGATAGCTGTGTTTCCTTTTGGTACTTGTTGACTTGTGACATGGAGCTGTGGGGTGGTGTTCAGTCCCACACAAATGTTTGGATCAGAAGAATTCACCATGGCCTCACAGTTGATTCCATCAAGCAGATCTGAGTAGAAACCAAACCAGAAGCCACAGCCCAACATGGCCCCCTCACACAGGGCACGGCAGGGTCGAAGGAGCGGTCCACTTGTGCTGCACTGTGGGAAGGCAGCCGCGCACAGGAAAAGCTGCACATTTTCATAGCAACCGATGGCTATCAATGTCTGGAAAGCACTTCCCAGGTTGGGCGGAATTTGGTCACGAGATGCATGCCCAAGACTGCTTGGGAAGCCCGTCTGGGTATAGGGAAGAGCAGAGCAAATATCGACAGGAATCTCCTCACAAGTCGTACCTGGAATTAAAAATGAAGCAAAGGCTCATACCCGTACTTTATTTGGGGTTATTAACACTTAAACTTAATTGTTCATGTAAGCTCTGTCTGTATCATATCAACTGGCTGCATCAAGTGGAATGTGCATTTTTTAGACACAGCTCCATCTTTCGAGAACAGGCCTAAGGAAGTGGCCAGAAACACTGCAATAATCCGTATGTTTTTTTGAAAAAAAATAAACAGTCATTCCTCATAAGAAAAAAGTTTCCATTCAATTTTGCCTGACATCAATCTTTTATGCTGGTACATGTAGTTCTCCTTTCTGTTCTTCATAAATAAGCAATTTAATCATGTTTATTATGTCTGCTTGATTTTCTTGCCAGTGTCTGATTGAATCTGTGAAATAGTTATTATGTTGTCATTTATTTGGTCTCTACTGGTAGGTGATATTCTGGATGTCTGCTATTACCGTAGCATCCATTCAAAACTTACTGAATTCTGACAAACTAACCAGTATTTCTGCATCCTACATACAGAGCCAGTTTGGTATTTCAAAAAGCCAAGGTCTTTCGGGAACAAAGCATGCGCCTGAGTCAGCGTATGGCTGCGCTGATAGGACAGACTATCATGTGCATGCATAAAATACATGTAGCCTTGTGTTGTGCATGCGCTGTTAGAATACCGAACTGACTCACTGATCAACAATCAAAATGAAAAATCATCAGCTCATATCATGCATCTACATGTACATGTACTAGCATTCCAGGAAGATCACTTAATTGAATTGTGTCCTACTGCTTGAAAATCTTAAGGAATTGTCAGCTCAGATCTTTCCTTTATACAGCTACATAATTTTAAGGGTCAGAATTTTATGCTCCACAGCATGACAGGTGCTTAATGCATTTTCCAAATCACTGGTTGGACTGGGAGCTCTAGGGGCAAAATGACAGCCCTGAGAGGCCAAGGTAAGGTACCATCAATTATCCACACCCCCCCCCCAATTTGATTCCATAAATAAATAATCAACTTCTGATTCAATAACCATGATAACTGGAGGCTTCTGAAGGTCAAATACTACAAGTACTGATGTACCAGTACACAGGTACATGTCAGCCATTCCATGGTGACTCACATGACATTTGAACAAAATGTTGAGTTTTAATGCATTACTGTTGCTAACTTATTTGATTCAAATTAGCACGTAACTAAGACAAGGCATTGTGAATGTATCTCTTAGTTTTTATTTAACCACTTTAACCACTTCATGCCGGGCATTTTTCAATGTTGATAATGCTGGGCCGGCATGACTATCATTTTTTCCGTTTTCAAAACCCTTCAAAAATTCATCATTTCATTTAACGGTCGTTTCTGGCCGCACCAAGTAATCTTTAGGCACTACTCTAAGTT